TCATTCATAGAAGATTTGAACAAGCAAACTTGATAAGGAAAGAACAACTATTATTTTTGTCCTAATATGTTTTTCAAAGAAATAAAAAGACAAAAAAAAACTTGCGTATTACGTGTTAGAGAATATGAAACACGTGTTTTTGGGCTTGCGAGGTTAGTTGTTCAAGGTCGGAATTAGGTCCTAAGTTTAATTCTTATCATTTAAAAAAAAAAAAATTTGGTTTGATAGGGCTGCAGGTCTATCAAAATAATTAAATCCTCACTTCGTAATTCATCGAAAATTGCAAGTCAAGCAATGGAAACCTTTGCATGGATCATCTTGACTTGTACATTATGATTGTGAAAACAAATTAGGATTTCAAGCACTAAAAATAACGTATATTGTAACAAATTTTGACTGTCCATTTTGCTTTTAAAATAAGTATTCCCAGATCCGCAAGATCTTTACCATTTTTTTAGTTTCAAATTTTATTGTCAATGTTGGAAATTGATTCTAGAGCCATCATAGATATTTCTGCTGCCAAAAGTACTTTCCGGATGATGATTTGAGAGGAGGCTTTGTTATATTATGATAAACCATAGGCCTTATAGAAACCTCATCCAAGAAAAAAAAAGAAAAAAAAGAAGAATATGGTTAATTATTCAAGGTTAGAACTAAATTTAATTCCTTCCACTTAACTATAAATAAATAAATAAATAAATAAAAATAAAGAAGAATAAGAATGTGGACCAGCTTTGCATGTAAGTTATAATACGTAGCACGATGACATTCGATGGACCGAAAAACAGGAAAGCAACAAGACCTGCATGAAAAATATGTTAAAGCTCCAAATGAATTGACACTTTCACGGTTCCGACCCATTTAATTTACTGGGTCCCAAGTAAAGGTTTATGTCGAAGGTCAGCATATTTAAGGTTGAATAGGGTTTATATGTTATTTAAGGTCGATTTTTTTTTATCAACAGTGAGAAATGGATCAACGGCGATGTAATTTTGCTCTCCCTTCACATTGCCCTCCCTTCTTTCTCCTCTTGCTTTTTATGTTCCTATCTTTTCGGATCGTAATTCTCTTTTTCTTACTTCTTTTTCTTTTATTTCGCTTTTCTTTTCATTCTCACTCAATGAAAAGATCGTCAACTGTTTAAAAAAAGGAAAAGGTTTATATAGAGCCGAGGCTATAAACTATCAAATTAGAGCCTGCCGCAAAAATTTTACTAGAAAAGATTGCTTTGATGTCTAATTATCCTCAAATTGATCGTCTCAACATCAAAATGCATAGACATGAGAAAAAATGGATTTTAAGTTTTCGAGATAGTATATTTTCTAACTCATTTTTGGAACGTCACTTTTCGAATTTTCATAGATCTATTGATCTACACTATTTTTTAAGCTTTAAACTTTATAAATAAATATGAAAATATATTTTAAGGCTATCACAAAGATTTCTTGTATTGAAATTGCATTTCTCGATACTATTTGAAGGTAGGCTCTAATTTGATTGTTTATAACCTAGGCTCTATACAAACTGCACCCTTAAAAAAAATGTGCGGTTTGTATAGAGCCGAAGCTTTAAACTGTCAAAGTAAAGCGTAATTTTAAATAGTTCGAGAAATGTGGTTTTAATGCCGGAAATCTTTGTGATACACTTAAAATATATTTTCATCTCTAATTATAAAATTTAAAGCTTCAAAATTAGTGTAGATCGAGCAGATCTATGAAAACTTGAAAATCTTGAAAATTGACAATTCAAAAATGCATTACAAGATGCACTATTTCAAAAACTTGAAATCATTTTTTCTTTTATGTCCATGCATCTTGAGGTCGAGATGATCAATTTGAGGATATTTGGGCATCAAAACAACATCTTCTAGTGAAATGTTTTGAGGTGCGCCCTAATTTGATTGTTTAAAGCCTCGCACTTATATAACCTTTTTCCTTAAAAAAATAAGGTTACTGTAAATTACGCTAAAAAAAAAATTATTTTGATATTGGAAGATCTTCTTATTGATGATCTTGACCTTAAGATGTATGGACATAAAAATAAGATTTCAAGTCTTAAAAATAGCACATCTTGCAACTCATTATTTGGACCGATCATTTTCAAGATTTTCAAGTATCTATAGATCTGCAACATTTTCAAGATTTTCAACTCATTTTTTCTCTCTCTATGTTGAACTTAGGAATGACTAAAGATATGATAAAGATTTCAAATAAGAAATCCCCTAAATGTGTATTCTGGGTGCCAGTCCATGTGGAATAAAGTGGTCCTCCCAAACCACCAAATCTTTTCTTTTATGCTGGGAAGGGTTTTGGTGCCTCGGGGATGCTATAGTGTGCCCTTTAAAATGTGCATCATCCATGTCTGTGTTTTTAAAACTAGTGATTTCTTATCTGGATCGTCAATCTAGCTATGTATTGATTGGGACTGAACCAATTCTTGAATAGTACAAT